TTATAATGGGTAGGAACTCTGAAAAAAATTCTCCCATAAGAACTTTTTAATAAACTCGTATGACATTATTTACATCATAAGAAACCTTAACAAACTTCTAAAATCTCAATAATTATTTTCCTCATAAGAATTCCTTAATTCCAAATCTGTGACTCCCAAAATTCGCCTGAAAACCCTAAAGCGCTACACACGATATTTCTGACCTGAAAACCCCGAAGCGCTACACACGATATTTGACCTGAAAACCCCCAAGCGCTACACACGATATTTGGTCTGAAAAAAAATATCGTCTGTGGCGCTTACACCCTACTACTGTCAGTGTGTCCTCCCGTGTAATCAGCGTGTCCTCCCGTGTAGTCAGTGTCCTCCCGTGTAGTCACCTTGTCGTCCCGTGTAGTCAGCGTGTCTTCCCGTGTAGTCAGCGTGTCCTCCCGTGTAGTCAGCGTGTCCTCCCGTGTAATCAGTGTGTCCTCCCGTGTAGTCAGCGTGTCCTCCCGTGTAGTCTGCGTGTCCTCCCGTGTAGTCAGCGTGTCCGCCCGTGTAGTCAGCGTGTCCTCCCGTGTAGTCAGCGTGTCCTCCCGTGTAGTCAGCGTGTCCTCCCGTGTAGTCAGCGTGTCCTTCCGTGTAGTCAGCGTGTCCTCCCATGCAGTCAGCGTTTCCTCCCGTGTAGTCAGTGTGTCCTCCCGTGTAGTCAGCGTGTCCTCCCGTGTAGTCAGTGTGTCCTCCCGTGTAATCAGCGTGTCCTCCCGTGTAGTCAGTGTGTCCTCCCGTGTAGTGAGCGTATCCTCCCGTGTAGTCAGTGTGTCCTCCCGTGTAATCAGCGTGTCCTCCCGTGTAATCAGCGTGTCCTCCCGTGTAGTCAGTGTGTCCTCCCGTGTAGTCAGCGTGTCCTCCCGTGTAGTCAGTGTGTCCTCCCATGTAGTCAGCGTGTCCTCCCGTGTAGTCAGTGTGTCCTCCCGTGTAGTCAGCGTGTCGTCCCGTGTAGTCAGCGTGTCCTCCCGTGTAGTCAGCGTGTCCTCCCGTGTAGTCAGCGTGTCCTCCCGTGTAGTCAGCGTGTCCTCCCGTGTAGTCAGAGTGTCCTCCCGTGTAGTCAGTGTGTCCTCCCGTGTAATCAGCGTGTCCTCCCGTGTAGTCAGCGTGTCCTCCTGTGTAGTCAGTGTGTCCTCCTGTGTAGTCAGCGTGTCCTCCCATGTAGGCAGCGTGTCCTCCCGTGTAGCCAGCGTGTCCTCCCGTGTAGTCAGCGTGTCCTCCCGTATAGTCAGTGTGTCCTCCCATGTAGTCAGCGTGTCCTCCCGTGTAGTCAGCGTGTCCTCCCGTGTAGTCAGCGTGTCCTCCCGTGTAGTCAGTGTGTCCTCCCGTGTCGTCAGCGTGTCCTCCCGTGTAGTCAGTGTGTCCTCCCGTGTAGTAAGTGTGTCCTCCCGTGTAGTCAGTGTGTCCTCCCGTGTAGTCAGCGTGTCCTCCCCTGTAGTCAGCGTGTCCTCCCGTGTAGTCAGCGTGTCCTCCCGTGTAGTCAGCGTGTCCTCCCGTGTAGTGAGCGTGTCCTCCCGTGTAGTCAGTGTGTCCTCCCGTGTAGTGAGCGTGTCCTCCCGTGTAGTGAGCGTGTCCTCCCGTGTAGTGAGCGTGTCCTCCCGTGTAGTGAGCGTGTCCTCCCGTGTAGTCAGCGTGTCCTCCCATGAAGTCAGCGTGTCCTCCCGTGTAGTCAGCGTGTCCTCCCGTGTAGTCTGTGTGTCCTCCCGTGTAGTCAGCGTGTCCTCCCATGTAGTCAGCGTGTCCTCCCGTGTAGTCAGCGTGTCCTCCCATGTAGTCTGCGTGTTCTCCCGTGTATTGTGTCCTCCCGTGTAGTCAGCGTGTCCTCCCGTGTAGTCAGCGTGTCCTCCCGTGTAGTCAGCGTGTCCTCCCGTGTAGTCAGTGTGTCCTCCCGTTTACTCAGCGTGTCCTCCCGTGTAGTCAGTGTGTCCTCCCGTGTAGTCAGTGTGTCCTCCCGTGTAGTCAGCGTGTCCTCCCGTGTAGTCAGTGTGTCCTCCCGTGTAGTCAGTGTGTCCTCCCATGTATTGTGTCCTCCCGTGTATTGTGTCCTCCCGTGTATTGTGTCCTCCCGTGTAGTCAGTGTGTCCTCCCGTGTATTGTGTCCTCCCGTGTAGTCAGCGTGTCCTCCCGTGTAGTCAGTGTATCCTCCCGTGTAGTCAGTGTGTCCTCCCGTGTAGTCAGCGTGTCCTCCCGTGTAGTCAGCGTGTCCTCCCGTGTAGTCAGTGTGTCCTCCTGTGTAGTCAGCGTGTCCTCCCATGTAGTCAGTGTGTCCTCCCGTGTCGTCAGCGTGTCCTCCCGTGTAGTCAGCGTGTCCTCCCGTGTAGTCAGCGTGTCCTCCCATGTAGTCAGCGTGTCCTCCCGTGTAGTCAGCGTGTCCTCCCGTGTAGTCAGCGTGTCCTCCCGTGTAGTCAGTGTGTCCTCCCGTTTACTCAGCGTGTCCTCCCGTGTAGTCAGTGTGTCCTCCCGTGTAGTCAGTGTGTCCTCCCGTGTAGTCAGCGTGTCCTCCCGTGTAGTCAGTGTGTCCTCCCGTGTAGTCAGTGTGTCCTCCCGTGTAGTCAGTGTGTCCTCCCATGTATTGTGTCCTCCCGTGTATTGTGTCCTCCCGTGTATTGTGTCCTCCCGTGTAGTCAGCGTGTCCTCCCGTGTAGTGTGTCCTCCCGTGTAGTCAGTGTGTCCTCCCGTTTAGTCAGTGTGTCCTCCCGTGTATTGTGTCCTCCCGTGTATTGTGTCCTCCCGTGTATTGTGTCCTCCCGTGTAGTCAGCGTGTCCTCCCGTGTAGTCAGCGTGTCCTCCCGTGTAGTCAGCGTGTCCTCCCGTGTAGTCAGTGTGTCCTCCCGTGTAGTCAGCGTGTCCTCCCGTGTAGTCAGTGTGTCCTCCCGTGTAGTCAGTGTGTCCTCCCGTGTATTGTGTCCTCCCGTGTAGTCAGTGTGTCCTCCCGTGTAGTCAGCGTGTCCTCCCGTTTAGTCAGTGTGTCCTCCCGTGTAGTCAGCGTGTCCTCCCGTGTAGTCAGTGTGTCCTCCCGTGTAGTCAGTGTGTCCTCCCGTGTAGTCAGTGTGTCCTCCCGTGTAGTCAGTGTGTCCTCCCGTGTAGTCAGTGTGTCCTCCCGTGTAGTCAGTGTGTCCTCCCGTGTAGTCAGTGTGTCCTCCCGTGTAGTCAGCGTGTCCTCCCGTGTAGTCAGTGTGTCCTCCCGTGTAGTCAGCGTGTCCTCCCGTGTAGTCAGTGTGTCCTCCCGTGTAGTCAGCGTGTCCTCCCGTGTAGTCAGTGTGTCCTCCCGTGTAGTCAGCGTGTCCTCCCGTGTAGTCAGTGTGTCCTCCCGTGTAGTCAGTGTGTCCTCCCGTGTAGTCAGTGTGTCCTCCCGTGTAGTCAGCGTGTCCTCCCGTGTAGTCAGCGTGTCCTCCCGTGTAGTCAGCGTGTCCTCCCGTGTATTGTGTCCTCCCGTGTAGTCAGCGTGTCCTCCCGTGTAATTAGCGTGTCCTCCCGTGTAATCAGCGAGTCCTCCCGTGTAGTCAGCGTGTCCTCCCGTGTAGTCAGCGTGTCCTCCCGTGTAATCAGCGTGTCCTCCCGTGTAGTCAGCGTGCCCTCCCGTGTATTGTGTCCTCCCATGTAGTCAGCGTGTCCTCCCGTGTAGTCAGCGTGTCCTCCCGTGTAGTCAGCGTGTCCTCCCGTGTAGTCAGCGTGTCCTCCCGTGTAGTCAGCGTGTCCTCCCGTGTAGTCAGCGTGTCCTCCCGTGTAATCAGCGTGTCCTCCCGTGTAATCAGCGTGTCCTCCCGTGTAGTCAGCGTGTCCTCCCGTGTAATCAGCGTGTCCTCCCTTGTAATCAGCGAGTCCTCCCGTGTAGTCAGCGTGTCCTCCCGTGTATTGTGTCCTCCCGTGTAGTCAGCGTGTCCTCCCGTGTAGTCAGCGTGTCCTTCCGTGTAGTCAGCGTGTCCTCCCGTGTAGTCAGCGTGTCCTTCTGTGTAATCAGCGTGTCCTCCCGTGTAATCAGCGTGTCCTCCTGTGTAGTCAGCGTGTCCTTCCGTGTAATCAGCGTGTCCTCCCGTGTAATCAGCGTGTCCTCCCGTGTAGTCAGCGAGTCCTCCCGTGTAGTCAGCGTGTCCTCCCGTGTATTGTGTCCTCCCGTGTAATCAGCGTGTCCTCCCGTGTAATCAGCGTGTCCTCCCGTGTAATCAGCGAGTCCTCCCGTGTAATCAGCGTGTCCTCCCGTGTAATCAGCCTGTCATCCCGTGTAGTCAGCGAGTCCTCCCGTGTAGTCAGCGTGTCCTCCCGTGTATTATGTCCTCTCGTGTAGTCAGCGTGTCCTCCCGTGTAGTCAGCGTGTCCTCCCGTGTAGTCAGCGTTTCTTCCCGTGTAATCAGCGAGTCCTCCCGTGTAATCAGCGTGTCCTCCCGTGTAGTCAGCGTGTCCTCCCGTGTAATCAGCGTGTCCTCCCGTGTAGTCAGCGTGTCCTCCCGTGTAGTCAGCGTGTCCTCCCGTGTAGTCAGCGTGTCCTCCCGTGTAGTCAGCGTGTCCTCCCGTGTAGTCAGCGTGTCCTCCCGTGTAGTCAGCGTGTCCTCCCGTGTAGTCAGCGTGTCCTCCCGTGTAGTCAGCGTGTCCTCCCGTGTAGTCAGCGTGTCCTCCCGTGTAATCAGCGTGTCCTCCCGTGTAGTCAGCGTGTCCTCCCGTGTAGTCAGCGTGTCCTCCCGTGTAGTCAGCGTGTCCTCCCGTGTAGTCAGTGTGTCCTTCCGTGTAGTCAGTGTGTCCTCCCGTGTAGTCAGCGTGTCCTCCCGTGTGGTCAGCGTGTCCTCCCGTGTAGTCAGCGTGTCCTCCCGTGTAGTCAGTGTGTCCTCCCGTGTAGTCAGTGTGTCCTCCCGTGTAGTCAGCGTGTCCTTCCGTGTAGTCAGCGTGTCCTCCCGTGTAATCAGCGTATTGTGCCATGTAGACTGAGTGTATAGCCAGCCTCAACCCTGACAGTCTTCCAATGGTTTGACCCGAGTATGACTTATCGTATGATAGCTGCACCCGTTAAATACCTCACACATCCAAATACACAAGACAAATACAATATAGATGTGATAACACCTTCACAATGCAGTGTACACACAACACAGCAGATGAGCATGCAGCCTGAGGAAGACACAGTCACCCAACTTCCAGCAGGTAATTAGTCAGAGGATCGGCGACCCAGACGGGCTCTCTCCACTATTCAAAAATACACCCAAGAAAAAGTACAGTGATGACAGCAGTTGCTACTATGCTACACAAAAATATCTTTGGCTTTCTGCTGCACGTGACCACATGAGAGGTGGGCGGGTCGTGGCTACCGCGGGGAGGAGGTCAGAACGACACGGGTCAGCACGACACGGGTCAGGACTATGGTGAGGGAGGAGGTCAGCACGACACGGGTCAGGACCACGGTGAGGGAGGAGGTGAGCACGACACGGGTCAGCACGACACGGGTCAGGACTATGGTGAGGGAGGAGGTCAGCACGACACGGGTCAGGACTATGGTGAGGGAGGAGGTCAGCACGACACGGGTCAGGACCATGGTGAGGGAGGAGGTCAGCACGACACGGGTCAGGACCACGGTGAGGGAGGAGGTCAGCACGACACGGGTCAGGACTATAGTGAGGGAGGAGGTCAGCACGACACGGGTCAGGACCACGGTGAGGGAGGAGGTCAGCACGACACGGGTCAGGACCATGGTGAGGGAGGAGGTGAGCACGACACGGGTCAGGACTATAGTGAGGGAGGAGGTCAGCACGACACGGGTCAGGACTATAGTGAGGGAGGAGGTCAGCACGACACGGGTCAGGACCACGGTGAGGGAGGAGGTCAGCACGACACGGGTCAGGACCACGGTGAGGGAGGAGGTGAGCACGACACGGGTCAGCACGACACGGGTCAGGACCACGGTGAGGGAGGAGGTCAGCACGACACGGGTCAGGACCACGGTGAGGGAGGAGGTCAGCACGACACGGGTCAGGACCATGGTGAGGGAGGAGGTCATCACTAGGGAGGCCGGAGCTGCTGCACCATCACACAGGGGAGACTGAGCCAACCTTACACTGGCTTATAGAGACGAGAGGAAATAGTACAAATGATTCACAGTTGTGGAAATGTTCGACTTGCCCAGAAGCAACTTTTTTTTTTACAGGTTAATTTTGTTTGTAGTAATTACATGTTCTTGCCTGAATGTGCTGTGTATGTCCTTATACAGACATGTGTCCTTATACAGACATGTGTCCTTATACAGACATGTGTCCTTATACAGACATGTGTCCTTATACAGACATGTGTCCTTATACAGACATGTGTCCTTATACAGACATGTGTCCTTATACAGACATGTGTCTTTATACAGACATGTGTCCTTATACAGACATGTGTCCTTATACAGACATGTGTCCTTATACAGACATGTGTCTTTATACAGACATGTGTCTTTATACAGACATATGTCTCTATACAGACATGTGTCCTTATACAGACATATGTCTCTATACAGACATGTGTCTCTATACAGACATGTGTCTTTATACAGACATGTGTCCTTATACAGACATGTGTCTTTATACAGACATGTGTCCTTATACAGACATGTATCCTTATACAGACATGTGTCTTTATACAGACATGTGTCCTTATACAGACATGTGTCTTTATACAGACATGTGTCTTTATACAGACATATGTCTCTATACAGACATGTGTCTCTATACAGACATGTGTCCTTATACAGACATGTGTCCTTATACAGACATGTGTCCTTATACAGACATGTGTCCTTATACAGACATGTGTCCTTATACAGACATGTGTCCTTATACAGACATGTGTCCTTATACAGACATGTGTCCTTATACAGACATGTGTCCTTATACAGACATGTGTCCTTATACAGACATGTGTCTTTATATGGACATGTGTCTTTATATGAACATGTGTCTTTATATGGACATGTGTCTTTATATGGACATGTGTCTTTATATGAACATGTGTCTTTATATGAACATGTGTCTTTATATGAACATGTGTCTTTATATGGACATGTGTCTTTATATGAACATGTGTCTTTATATGAACATGTGTCTTTATATGGACATGTGTCTTTATATGGACATGTGTCTTTATATGAACATGTGTCTTTATATGGACATGTGTCTTTATATGGACATGTGTCTTTATATGAACATGTGTCTTTATATGGACATGTGTCTTTATATGAACATGTGTCTTTATATGAACATGTGTCTTTATATGGACATGTGTCTTTATATGAACATGTGTCTTTATATGAACATGTGTCTTTATATGGACATGTGTCTTTATATGGACATGTGTCTTTATATGAACATGTGTCTTTATATGGACATGTGTCTTTATATGGACATGTGTCTTTATATGAACATGTGTCTTTATATGGACATGTGTCTTTATATGAACATGTGTACTACGCCTTAATACGGACATTGTATCATGGTTATGAGTGAGTATAGTCTAGGCTGCCTTCAGGTGAGAGATGTTCGAAAGCAGCCTAAATATGGGCTTTCCCTCCATATATGAGGATCAGTACATATTGGGATATGAGAAATAGATGAAAGTAGGTTAATGAGATAAAGAACAATGAGATTTTGGGGAATTAAGGAGGAAATACTGTGAGGAGGAGGAGTCAGAAGAAGTCGATATACTTCCTTTCGAACGAGGTGGGGAATCCCGAGCAATCCAAGGTGCCTGCAAATCTAAAATGAACAAGAGGAGGCTATGTGGACCAATCAGCGTGTTACAAGACGTTCACGTCACATAACGCTCACGGGCGGTGAGATACTACAATAAGATTCAGAACAAGATACCCATTAGGCGAGTTTGAAGTGGGGGACAACTGAACAGAAGTCGGTGAGAGGAAGTGCTGAAGTTGTAAAAAAAAAAGTGCAAGGGCTTATCCCAGCTGCATGGCGAGAATGGATGCTGGAACAACCACACAACTGGCTAGGCGTTGAGTCGGGTCAGGAAAAGGCAGCTGTGGCAGTGCTTCTTCATTCTTGGTGGTGACAGTCGTTTATATTCCTGGTAATCCTCTGGTATAAGGTTCGGTAAGAGAGTATCTTCGTCTAGTAGCTCGTAAATTGACTGATTATTAACTTTGAGACATTCAGGGTCCAACTCACTCCTCTTATTCCTCAGATGTTTTCTGTGTTCAAGGTTGTAGCCTACGCTGCCGTCGAGCTACGGGGGTCCCAGGAGTTGTCTGGCGTAGAACAGTGTCAAGTGCTTGTATTTATGAAAGAAAGGCATTAGGAGGCAGGTGTTGGGCTTCGTCAACTGATGTAGATGGCTTGGAGGAAGCAGGAGTGGAAGGATCCTCAGAATCAGAAGACAGGTGGAGGACGTCAGCGGCTAGTGTAGATGGTTTAGGAGTAGGAGACAAGACGGTGGGAGCAGTAGGAGTTGATCAGACGTCAGAGAGTGCTGCAGCAGTGATGGTGATGTGTTCTTCCTCCATGGCAGGTGGAGTAGTAGGCATGGAGTAGTCAGTATAAAGTTCCTCGGAAACGGTAAACGTCGGCAGGCCATTCGCGGTGCAGAAGGTGTTTAGTATCTTTATAATGACCCTTAAGTTTGAATCGCCATTTTCTCTCCAATATGCATGAGCGCGAACATCGTGCTATTGATCGTGTTGGGAGCAGGCATCTGCTGGGTCAGTGATTGGCCAGAGTGAGGTGTTGGCGTCGCCTAGATTGGTGAGTGTTGAGCGGTCTAGGAGCCAAGTCTCCATTGACTTGCAGGCTGCGCGGTGGCTCTTCCTCCTACAGGAAGCGCCGGGAAAATGGCGGCTTGAACGTAGATGGAGTACGGCGAGTGGTTGACGCGTGCCTGGCGTCGGAAATCTTCTTGATTTCATCGATTCATGTAGGGCACTTAGTAGGGACGGAAGTATGTTCACCATCACAGTTAATGCAGTGAAAATAGACAGTGCCAATCCTTGAAGTAGTAATTCCTGGAGCACTTGCTGCACTTCAAGTCCTGGAGAGTGCACTTCTTCGTGAAGTGATCGTAGCTGTAGCACTTGTAATACTGACGAAGTCGGTAGTAGCGTATCTTAATGATCTGGCGAGGTGCGCTAGCGATGCCAAAGCAGCCCCTGTCAGCAGCAAAAACAGCTTCAACAGGCGATGTAAAGGTAACCATCATGATGGGGAGGTAGCTGTCAGTTACAGTGAAGAACTTGACAATGACAACAGTCACTGAAGAGTTTTCGTCGTTGATACTGGCGAAGATGTCGGTGACTGCTTTATCAGAGATCAGGGAGCTCACTCTGCGGACGAACACCGTCCTGGCTGCTAGGTTGTGCAACGTTGGTTTTGGTAGAGATCAAGTCGAGAAATTCTCTTAACGGGTAAGGGCCCTCTCCTCTCTGAAGCGTACTTTTATCCGGTAGATCATAGTACGTAAAGCTTAGTACCAGAGCGACGCTCGACCAGGGCAATCAGCTAACACCTCAAGCACGGGGAGCGCAGTGTTCATGGAAGATGCGGCCAGCTAGTTCAGCCGGAACCTATCAGTGAGCTCGTCACTTTACATCTGAACACAAGAAGCGGCGGACGTTCTGTCTCTGTGTCCGTTTTTACCTCGGCTTGTTTCCACAATTTAAACCTTGTGAGAAGGCCCGAACAAAGAATAGTTAAGGCCATGACTCCCAGGAGGACCGTGGTCCAGAAGCTGCCCTCGTATGTTGACGGATTCGCCGGAATGACGTGGAAGAGGAGCTGAGGTCGTGGCAACTTGGAGCTTGACCCACTGAGGCTGTTGTTTTGTCGTCAAGGACGGCATTCTTCAAAAGATGCACCTAAATACGATTTGGAGGCTGGTACATAAGGTGTCACGGTTACAAGAATTCTACGGAATTCCAAGGATAGCGAAGATAAATAGGAGCCAAAGAGAAGAGGCTCGGTTATCCTCAAGTGTGAAACACCATCGACTAGTGGACCACTTGTAACTCCTACTTGTGCTGAACCTATGCACTGTGACGGAACGACTGCAGGTAACAGGTAAGGGCCTGTGTGTCTCTGAGGGACACACAGGGACAATCTGAGGGATAAAACGTATCATCTTTTGCAGATGACAAAAAAATCAGGAAGAAAATTACCTCTGTTGAAGACATTGAAAAACTTCATATAGATATTAATAAAGTTTTCGACTGGGCAGCAGAAAATAAGATGATGTTTTACGGTAATAAATTCCAGGTACTCAGGTACGGTAAAAATGAGGACCTAAAACGTAATACAGGGTTCAAAACACAATCAAATCTGCTCATAGTAGGAAAGCAACATGTAAAAGATTTGGGAATAATGATGTCCGACGATATATCGTTTAGGGAGCATAACCAAGCAAATATTGCGTCAGCCAGAAATATGATAGGATGGATTACGAGAACTTTCAAATCCAGGGATCCCATCACAATGGTTGTACTATACAAATCCCTTGTACTGTCCCGTCTTGAGTACTTCTCGGTACTCACTTCCCCCTTTCAGAGCAGGAGAGATTGCCGAAATACAGGGAAAACAGAGACCATTTACGGGATACATAGACGCGATAAAGCACCTAAATTATTGGGATCGTCTCAAACCTCTCCAAATGTACTCACTGGAAAGAAGACGAGAGAGATATCAAATAATATACAGGTGTAAGATGCTGGAGGGCCAAGTACCAAATCTACACAGCAAAATAACAACGTACTGGAGTGAACGATAAGGAAGAAAATGCAGAATAGAACCAATGAAGAGCAGGGGTGCCATAGGCACAACCAGAGAACACTGTATAAACATCAGAGGTCCACGGTTGTTCAACATCCTCCCAGCGAGCATAAGATATGTTACCGGAACAACCGTGGATATCTTCAAGAGAAAACTAGATAATTTTCTCCAAGGAGGGCCAGACCAACCGGGCTGTGGTGGATGTGTGGGCCTGCGGGCTGCTCCAAACAACAGCCTGGTGGACCAAACTCTCACAAGTCAAGCCTGGCCTCGGGCCGGGCTTAGGGAGTAGAAGTACTCCGAGGACCCCATCAAGCAGGTATCAAGCAGGACCGGTATGTGCCCATACCTTACATTAGGGGGCTTATCCGGGACGGAGTGAGGACCCTTTCCACCTTATATTTGGGAGCCCGTTTATGACAGGGAGGTCTTTCTATCTCACAATTGTCACTGAGCTTTAGTACCTACCTGTGCACTGAGCTTTAATACCTACCTGTGCACTGAGCTTTAATACCTACCTGTGCACTGCACTTTAATACCTACCTGTGCACTGAGCTTTAATTCCTACCTGTACACTGCACTTTAATACCTACCTGTGCACTGCACTTTAATACCTACCTGTGCACTGCACTTTAATACCTTCCTGTGCACTGAGCTTTAATGCCTACCTGTGCACTGAGCTTTAATACCTACCTGTGCACTGAGCTTTAATACCTACCTGTGCACTGCACTTTAATACCTACCTGTACACTGCACTTTAATAAATACCCGTGCACTGAGCTTTAATGCCTACCTGTGCACTGAGCTTTAATACCTACCTGTACACTGCACTTTAATACCTACCTGTGCACTGCACTTTAATACCTACCTGTGCACTGCACTTTAATACCTTCCTGTGCACTGAGCTTTAATGCCTACCTGTGCACTGAGCTTTAATACCTACCTGTACACTGCACTTTAATACCTACCTGTGCACTGAGCTTTAATACCTACCTGTGCACTGCACTTTAATACCTACCTGTACACTGCACTTTAATACCACTGCACTTTAATACCTACCTGTGCACTGAGCTTTAATACCTACCTGTGCACTGCACTTTAATACCTACCTGTACACTGCACCTTAATACCTACCTGTGCACTGAGCTTTAATACCTACCTGTGCACTGCACCTTAATACCTACCTGTGCACTGAGCTTTAATACCTACCTGTGCACTGCACTTTAATACCTACCTGTACACTGCACCTTAATACCTACTTGTGCACTGAGCTTTAATACCTACTTGTGCGCTGCACCTTAATACCTACCTGTGCACTGCACATTAATACCTACCTGTGCACGGAGCATTAATACCTACCTGTGCACTAAGCTTTAATATCTACCTGTGCACTGAGATTTAATACTTACCTGTGCACTGCAATTTAATACCTACCTGTGCACTGCACTTTAATTCCTACCTGTGCACTGAGGTTTAATACCTACCTGTGCACTGCACTTTAATTCCTACCTGTGCACTGCACTTTAATACCTACCTGTGCACTGCACCTTAATACCTACCTGTGCACTGCACCTTAATACCTACCTGTGCACTGCACTTTAATACCTACCTGTGCACTGAGGTTTAATACCTACCTGTGCACTGAGGTTTAATACCTACCTGTGCACTGAGGTTTAATACCTACCTGTGCACTGCACTTTAATACCTACC